CCTGAACCCTGTGCCCCACCCCGTCAGGGATTGGAAATGCCTCTTTGCTCCTATATAATTAGATCATTATTGACTTGCAATGTAAGCTACCAGCCGGACCGCCCGGGTCACCCTGTTCTCCCAGACGGCATGGCCATGCAAGGAACAGGGAACTTAGGGAAGGTCCCAGCACAAAAAAAAAAAAAAAAGAACATCCGAAAAAACCCCTGTGTTATGCAGAAAAATAAAGTGAACAACTTCTGCCTCAGGGTTACATCGAAATTCTTTGCCGAATTTAAAGCAACAATTAAAATTAAAAAATATAAAGTTGTTTTTTAATTTCCTTTTGGCCTGGCCGGGCAAGTGGTCCCGGCCCACTCTGGCAGCCTACTGTCTTCCCCCGAACACAACGCACCCCCATTTTGCCTGTACGACTTTCCATTTGGCGTACGCACCCCCATTTTGCCTGTATGGCTTTCCATTTGGCGTGACCCGCATAATCCCTAGGGGTCTGGGAGTACTTCGTATCGGAGTAACAATTTGGATTTATATGTTTTTTTTTTTTTTTTTTAAACAAGGCTCCAATCTATTCATGGGGAGCAGCACGTGCTGGGAACCGGGCCCAGCGTCCCGTATGAAAGTTGACATAGAATTTTGAAGGAATTTCAAAGGCTAAAAAAAAAAAAAAAAAAGATCCCGGGGATAAGAAAAATTTGATGTACTGAGAAAGCCACTACAGTACTTCCTAAAGTCGTGCCCGTTAACGCTACGCGATATTAGGAAACATAGGGCCACTACAGGAGAGCACCCAAATTCATCCAACTACAGACCTTTCTACTCTATTTTTTTCTGCGGCCGATAGCTGGGCCAAGTACTGGTGGTTTAAAGATAGTGTTGCCTTTTTGCAGCCACTTCAGATCTCGTTTGGGTTGGGACATATTGCTCCTTCTGTCATGTGGAATAATGAATCTTGCATTCTTTAAACCACCAGTACTTGGCCCAGCTATCGGCCGCGGCACTTTCCCGTTAACGCGCCACGCCACGCCATGCCTTTAGGGCTTCGGGGTACCGGACCACAACGGCTGGAAGCGCCAGCCAAAAAATTCCGAAACGGTACCCTGGCGCTTCAGAGAAAACCTGAATACTCGTCGACGTACCGTCTTATATTTGATTACGGATCGAGTAACTAAGTTTATGAGACTGAGAACGTCAGACAGTCAGTCTGACATCGGACAGACTTTATGAAATCCTATTTATAGAATCGGTAGCCCCCCAATCAACCACAGCAGACCCGCAATCAACCATGGAACAGTGGCTACAAAAATGAGGGAAAATAATTCTGAATTACCTGGGCCCGGTCAGCTCAATGATGAGATCTCAAGGCCGTGGGCCCTTTTCAAAACAAAAACAAAAACAAACAAAACAAACAAAAGAGCGGAAACCGATGGGAAAGCCAAAAAAAAAGGACAGGTTTTAATGTGTCCCGTTATGCTTGCAGGGGTCCCCTGTATACCCTTAGGAGAAGTGACAGGTCGGTAGTGAAAGGAAAGGAAAAAAACTATGTTCAAAAACTATGTTCTAGGAGACAGGTCGGTAGTGAAAGGAAAGGAAAAAAACTATGTTCAAAAACTATGTTCAAAAACTA